TGGAAGAAGAGAAGCGCCTTGTCGAGAAGCAGCACCTCATTGAGGTGCAGCGAGTCGAGGAAGAGAAGCGCCTCATGGAGGAGAATCGCCTCTTTGAGGTGAAGCGTCTCATAGAGCTGAAGCGTCTTGAGAAAAAAAATAAGCGACTTGAGGAGAGGCGCTTTCGCAAGGTGAAGCTCCTCGAGGAGAAACGTCTCATGCAGGAGAAGCGCCTCGTTGAGGTGAAGCGTCAAGAGGAGGAGGAGCACTTGATGGAGGAGAAGCGTCTTGTGGAGCAAAAGCGCCTCGAGGAGGAGGAGCGCCTCGCCAAGATCGAGCGACAATGGCTCCAGACCGATACCACCAGCAGCAGCACCACTACTACTGACATCGCCACCGCCGCCACCGCCACCACGTCCTCCAATCCTGTGTGGGGCCCAATCGCTCCGAGCTTTGGAGAAGAGGGCTTCCAAGAAGATAAAGCAAACTCCGGAGTCATTGAACCACGGTAAAGCACTCTGCGTGTGCGCCCTGTGTGTTTATTTTTGTTATGTATTACCATGCTTCTCACGCAGCATCAGCCTTACTCGGTCTCAAGACTTTTTTTCAGGAGGATTCTGCCAAGTTTGCTCGCATTTTGCAAGAAAGTTGCTACAGTTTGCGATCCAAATTGAACGATTTGCATTGCTTGTGTGGGTTCAGTAACAGGGAGAAAGCTGCATAACTTTCCCTGAACAGCTGGCTGCATAATCCACACGGAGAATGTGGCCAAACGTGGAAATCAAACCCAGGTCAATGTCGCTGTGATGCACAGGTGCTCAAGCCCTGTCACGCTCTCAAAATTCACTGACACTGCAAACTCCACGTGTACATTCCGCTATACTGTGGACAGATTTATTTTTCGTAACTGGTTTCTGAGTTAGACCACATAACAAAGTGGGCATATCTTCACCATGTAACCCTCCATCCACCGTGAGATTTTCGCTGTCTATCGCCTGTTTCCAGGCCAGTTGCCAAGTCGCTTTGTAATGCACAGCGACAGCTACCACTGAGAGGGGTGTCCAATTTAAAACGCGATGAGATGAGAGATGCGAGAGGCTCATCGCATGCAATGCACTCTGAGATGCCTTCGACGTCCAGGGAGGTGGCTCTCTCGACCACGAATCACTGACGGATACTTTTTTAAAATCGTGGATGTGTTGAAGCGACCAAATGGCCGTGCACTCATTCTTCACCATTACAGTTCAGATCTTGCTTCCCGCCTTGGCTATTATTGCTGCTGCATTGACCACACAGATACACACCCATTCCGTCACAGTGGACGTTCAGGATCTCTATCGATGCCATTTGAAATGCTTAGGACATTATGTGCAAGGGGTCAATTAGAATATACATATAGAAAGTTTCAATCTAGATTTTTTTCGTGACTACAGGGATCCATACTCTTTGGTTATATCGGTAAATTCACGTAGGTATGAAATAAAATAAATTTAATTAAATCACGACGTTTCGATGGCCATGTCTTTATTGCAAGAAAATGTATTGCTGTGGGTTTCCCACCTTATGATGATTGCTTGTGTTACAATCTAAACGTTGTGATTTAATTTATTTTATTTTATACCTACGTGAATTACCGAAAGAACCAAATTATTCAGCTAAATTTGCACAGCAACGCCACCCACTACTGTGAAACTACAGCAGTCTGTGTGGGACACAGCTGCACCTATCCCAAGGATAGCCTGGCGCCATGAGAATGACAGCACCAATACTAAGCACACTCACTAGCAATGTCGTTATTGCTGTTTCTATTCAGCTCGAATTAATCCGCCACACATTCCACCCACGGACGATGCCTTCATATCCGCCTGCCCGCCGTACCTTTCTTCATTATTGACAACTTGCAGCTCAGCACACGGCAGATGCCTGCGCAGCGCGACTCACGACCTCCTCTCGATACCAAGATCCAGGATGGTCATCGTGTCTATGCGCCGCTTCTCGGTGGCAGCCCCAACAGTCTGGAACGATATCCCTCTGCACATTCGCAGCATCACCTCAATCACCTCCTTCAAGAGACACTTAAAAACTCACCTCTACAATCATGCTTTTGAGCGACTCTGAGCTTGGCTCCGCGCCTCTGAGTTGCGGCCACTACGTCTTGCGCGCGTTACAAATTGTACTATTATTATTAGATGGCGATGTCTGCCATAGCAGCAAGGTGGAACGGTGTCGTGTTTGACAGACAACCATCACAGTTTTACCATGTCTAGTGGTGGTCTCCCTGTTACAGGTTGAGTCACAAACCGCACCTCTCTATAACAAAGGCTCAGTCTTTGTTATGCAGTCTATTCTTAGTCTTAAGCCTCACCTTACCATATTAATAAAAGTATGTGGCCCTTGCCCCACCACCTTCTCCAACCATTATATAAACGGAGTGGTAGCTTCTGCAATCTCTCATTTACTTGATACAGCTGTCGTGGCTGTGACGGTACCACCTTAAGACGGAAGCTTGTGTTGCCTCCGAAACGTCGTGATTTTTATTTTATTTTACTTTTTAATGTTTTTTACCTACGTGACTTTACCGAAAAAACCTAAGAATATGAATCATTGCAGTCACGAAAGCTTCAAATCTAGAACGGTGTCGTGTTGTCGCTTCACAGATCTGAGCCAGCGCAGCCCTCCTCCTCACTCATCCAGGCCTTTGGAGCGAAGACAGAGTTTGTGGGGAAGCAGACGAAGCAAGAGGTGAAGGAGGAGATGATGGAGGATGAGGTAGAGACAGAGGAGGAGAAATCGGAGGAAGAGAAGGCAAAGGAGGACGAGATTGTGATGGTGACAATGGAGGAGAACACGGAGGGAGAGGAGAAAGACAATACAGAGATGGAGGACAAGGAGACAACAAAGGATGAACAGATGGTCGTGGTGGAGGACATGGAGACGACGGACAAAGGGGAAACAATGGTGGTAGAGGAGGAAGAGAAGACGGTGGTGGAGATGGTAGTGCCGGAAGGTGAGGAGGAGATGAAGGAGGAAGAGATGGTGCTAGCGGAGGAGAAGAAGATGGAGAAGATGGAGGTGGCGCAGGAAGAGGAGGTAGAGGAGAAGATGGTGGTGGAGGATGAAGAAGAGGGGATGGAGGAGGATGAGACGGAGGAGAAAACGGAAGAGGTGCAGGTGGAGATGCACGAAAAGAAGAGGAAGCGAGGGGGCCTCGCTCGCGTGGCGAGAGCGATCGCCTCACTCCTCCGCCGCGTGCTGCTTTGTGGTGGCAGGTCCACCGCCCAGTAGGGGTGGTGGCGGTGGTCGTGCATCGGTGCCAACCGTGACCACTATCACCACACTACCCGCCCACCCCGTGATACTCGCTACACACACCACACGGTTCCCCAGAGAGACGGTGCCACTGGGACCACAGCTGGGGAATGAAGCTGAGCAGCAGATGCCAGGACTACAGCGGAGAATGACTGCTGCCAGGAGACCTCACATCACACACACACGGGACTATGTCATTAGCATAGCCGGCCCCACAATGGGCCCCTTCCATGCTGGTTTTCATCCAGGCAGTCCTCATGGGATGACCTTGCCATGGTGTCCAGGACATGGTCGTATTATCATTTTATTGTGCTTGAATGTATGTTATGTGCAAATGCACATCATTTGTCGTAAATGCGAGGGAGGGGTTACGAGGTGCACGTTTAATCCAGTGTTAACATTTATTTTAGCATCATATTAAAGGACACTGTTGTTGAGAAGAATTTGTCTGGACGTGGCACGTGCCTTGTTCTACTCGATCAACCAAAATTAGTACAATGTTGGTCATACAGGAGTGTGATTTCATTCATGAGTAGTATTCACACAGCCCTCATGACACTAACCTACCTAAAGTTATGGTTAAACAAAGTAATCTTGAGTGACTTAATTCTCAGCTCAGACATGATCATCGCAATCATTTCCAAAGACGTGTGGGGTCCTGCGAGAGCAGGTCCCGACTGCAAACAGCTGGGCAGCAGAATCGGAAGTAGCTGCGTCGCCCTCGAAATGTGATGTTGCTGCTGTTGTTGTCGCTACTGTTGTTGCTGCTGTAGTTGCTTCTGTTGCTGTTATATACGCAGGAAGGTGGTGTTACGTGATGGGATGACGCCTTTGATTAAAGCCTCTGATCAAACTCACCCGATTGACGCCCTTGATCGTCGCATTTGATCAACTGTGATATTGTATACTCTCACATGTTAAGCTCTTTCATAGTGAAACATAATATAACCTATGAACTACAACCTATCCATTGTAACGCTGTAAAATAATATTACCTACTGGGTTTCACTCCCTCGTCGAGAAGGCCGCTCTCTTCCTTTTCTAAAGTTACATGCTAATTTCTCTGCATTCACTTTAAACCGAGGACAAAGTTTTTCCATTTATTCAAAATAAGCGCATAATTACACACCGAGATGCACTTACATATTCATGCATGAAGCACAATGGGCACATTACTCTTCGGTATGTTAAAAGACATGCGGATTGTGCCTTCAAAAATTAACAATCGAATGCAAATATCCTGAAAGACAAAGGATTGGATCCTAGGGGGGGAGTTATAAGGCGGCTCAGAAGCAGAGCTCAATGCCATTTCGAGAGGGAACTTGATGAGGTTGGACGCTCGACTCGTCGCTCTGCTGATCGCCCTTCAACCGCGAGACAACGCAGCCTGGCGAGCACAATTGCTGTGTCGACAGTTAGGCGACTTTGCGTCGGGAGAGTTCGTGGCGACATCTTCAGACGGGTTCCAGACATCGATATACCGTGAATCTCCAAGTAAGTGTCTATTTTCGCGGATAAACTCTTAAACGTGTTCGTCGTCAAATTAGCGGGATTTTTTTGCGTCTCGGTTCGACGCGAGTGTCGTTCTTGTTTTAGCAGTTAACGAAATCCAAAACTCAACGCTAAACATCCTTGCGGCCGACAGCGTACTTTTGACTCGATAACACCGCTGCTGTTACTAAGCTCACATGGAGCAGAGACGCTCTCCACAGCCCCACGCACACGGAGACAAGAAGCCATTCAATTGCTATGTGTGTGGGAAGGCATTTGCACAATCGTCAACTCTTCAAACTCATCAGAGAACGCACACGGGCGAGAAGCCATTCCTGTGCCCTGTGTGTGGGAAGGCATTTGCACGGTCATCAACTCTTCAAACTCATCAGAGAACGCACACGGGCGAGAAGCCATTCCTGTGTCCTGTGTGTGGGAAGGCATTTGCACGGTCATCAACTCTTCAAACTCATCAGAGAATGCACACGGGCGAGAAGCCATTCCCGTGCCCTGTGTGTGGGATGACATTTGCAAAGTCATCACATCTTCATAGTCATCAGAGAACACACACGGGCGAGAAGCCATTCCTGTGCCCTGTGTGTGGGAAGACATTTGCAAAGTCATCAAATCTTCATAGTCATCAGAGAACACACACGGGCGAGAAGCCATTCCTGTGCCCTGTGTGTGGGAAGGCATTTGCAGACTCATCAACTCTTCATAGTCATCAGAGAACACACACGGGCGAGAAGCCATTCCTGTGCCCTGTGTGTGGGAAGGCATTTGCACGGTCATCAACCATGAACAGGCATCAGAAGGTCCACAATGATAGGAAACTGAAATCAAAAGCTGAAATTCAAGATGCTGCAATGAGTCCTGAAGAAGTTTCCACCTTCGATCCCATGCAGTTGGATCCCGAGAGATGGCTGGATGTAATGGAGTGGCTCGAGGGTCAACCAGAGAGTTCGGGGTGACTGAAAAAATATTATGTCATGTGGCTATACCTATTAAGCCATATCGAGTTCTTTAGTGTGTAATTTTGAACATTTTAATTTTACAGTTTTTGTGAGAGTTTAATGACGTGCCCAGTGGTGGTTTGTAATGTTATCGGATTACTTGCCGAAGTGGTGTGATGAGCACTGGTTGTGAGAGGGTTCAATTGTAGTCGTTAAGTGTTCCTGTTGAGCTAAAGTTGAAATGCGTCTTTAGGTACATCTTTACTCAACATTTTAAACGATTTTTGTCAAGTATATAGCTTTTTTTGATTGGTATTAATCGACTTTAGATAGCCGATATCAGGATGTACATTGATAACGCGATCGTTGGATATATGGCCTTGACTTCAACATGGACTCACAGTGAACAAATGTGGTAAATTAATAAGGAAATCATGGGGAATGATACTTTAACGTTTTGGTATTCCTGGAACGGAAATGGTTTGCATTGTACTGGAAATGTGTGAACATAGGACTTAATAAATATTCCCTTCGAGTTTTGACGTAAAAATGATTGCAGATGAATAAAAACGTATCTTTAACAAATGTTTGTCCGGTCTTTATTTTATAATGTTCCTAGCAAAAACCTGTTAAGAGAATTCCAGGTGGAGGATCTCCGTCACACAAGTGTGCCCTTAACCCGCAGCATCTTAGCTGTCTACACGATTAACACGTGTTCATTGAGGGGAAAGGTCCCCGTAGTTAATCGTTCATCAACGTACCAGTCTCTAATTCCGAAGTATGTCGGGGATAAACTGTACTCTATGACATGTAAACTGTAATACTATGAACGATAACACTGAACATTAAACGATTATAAACTAGTGTTTTAATTTATAACCATTTAAACGGAGGTAAGGTATTATAATATCATTAGAAGCATTAGAATCACAGTGTGGTCGTTTAAGAATCACACACAAACACATTAAAAACTCATGAGATTATGAATCTTTACAATTATTATAACAATCACAAATTGTGACAAAGCGAAATTCCCACAAGTAAAACACCACGCTCACGTGACGAATTCTTAAACAAACTGCAACACTCAAGTGACAGAACTTAACAAAAAAACGCCGCAATAAAAAAAACAACATCAATGGACAAATCGTAAAAACAGACAACACACGCACGTTAGTAGCTGTTAGAAGAAGACAACACCTAGCACCTTCAACTATACACATCATACAGCCAACTCGTAAATGGGGCGGTATATGACAGCCTTCGCTGCTGTCGACGGGGCCAAGCAGCGAGTGTTTAACTCCATTGTTTCAGAATCCGTGTCATCACCCGGCCACAGCGCCTTAGCCAAACTACATCTCCCCAACAAGGCTGCCTCCCTATGTTGTGTATTTTAGCAGTTTATTTACGGACGCACTTGAAGATAACAATTCGTCTAGAAAAGGAAAGCGACTTGTTCTACCAACACGATTTCAAATTTCTATCCGAAAGAAGTATGAGTTCATTCATGAGTAGTATTCACTAAGCCCCGATGGCACTCACCTACACACAGTTATGATTAAACAAAGTAAACATTAGTCGCTCATCCCAGCTCAGACATGATCATAGCAATTATTTCCAAATCCGTGTCGGGTCCCACGAGAACAGGGCACGTCCACAAACTCTCAAATTGTAAACTGACATTGTATACTCTAACATTATAAACTCTAACAATATAACCTTTAAACTATGAGCTATACATTGTAACGCTTTAAAATAACACTACAAACTAGTGTTATAGTAAACTATAATATTGTGAACTCTAACAATATAAGCTATGTGCGATACATTATAACGCTATAAAATAACATCATTAACTAGTGTTACAGATTAGAACACCGTACATTGAAGTGTGATATTCGAATCTCATTCGAATTCTTAGCTTCACACCGTGGTCCTCTAAGAATCACACTATGCTCGTGAGTATGTAACATGTCAGTATGTAATATGCATGAATGTAATATGTATGTATGAACCCTTCCCATCGTTCCTGGGTTGGGAGTGGAGCCTACTAACACAACCTTGAGCATTTTGACCGGGTTCTCGACGCCAGTCCCTCGCCCATCATGGAATATTGTGCCTTTCAGGCACCGATCCCTCACCAGTGGCGGATCCTTGAGGCACCCCGGGCCTCTGGGGCTCGGAAACTGTGAGCGGCACAACACATTTCCTTTGGAGTACGGTTTCCGTTGCCGAGAGCCCCACCACGTCGGACACACCAGACTTGGGCTGTACAGGACATGGGGATGAGCTGTCTGGGTGGGGACGGACATAAGTCTTGAGGCGCGATGGGTGGACGAACCAACTGCAACGCCCTATCTGTATTCGTTACACACTGCAGCCGTTTCACCTCTATGACTTCAGCTGTATCACTATAAACGATAACACTCAACATTAAACGACTATAAACTGGTTTCCTAATTCATTACACCATAAACTGAGGTACGGTATTCAAATCTCATTAGAAGTATTATAATAGCACTCTGCTCAAATGTATGTAAAGCGAACGTTCCATCGAACCGGGGGTTGGATATGCAAACTGGGGTGGGGTGCAGGGTTAGAATCGAATTCAAATTCCGAGAATAACAATATTGTCGTATTCGCATTTTACTGTGCTTGACTGTATGTTAAGTGTAAATGCAAATTGTTAGTCATAAATGCGAGGCAGAGGTTAAGAGGTGCATGTTTTTTTCCAGTGTTAACGTTTATTTTAGCATCATATTTAAGGACAATATTGGAAATAAAAGTTCGTCTGGACATGGCACGTGCCTTGTTCGTCTCGATCAACCAAAATTAGTAGAATGTCGATCATAAAGGAGTGCGAGTTCTTTCATGAATAGTATTCGCTGAGCCCCTAGATACTAACCTACACACAGTTATTGTTAAACAAAGTAACGTTTAGTCACTTAATTCTCAGCTCAGACATGATCATCGCATTCATTTCCAAAGATGTGTGGGGTCCCGCGAGAGCAGGGCCTGGCTACAAATAGCCGAGCAGCAGAAACAGCAGAATCAGAAGTAGTTGCGTAGCCATTAAAATGTGATGTTTCTGCTGTTATTGTTGCTGCTGTAGTTACTTCTGTTGCTGTTATGTATTGGGTGGTGGCTCATTTACTCATCACCACCCATAATCATCAGCATCAATATCCATTATCATCACCAATCATCATTATCACTATCAACTCACCATCACCAACCATCGTCATCACCACCACCCAACCATCACAACCAACATTCATCATAACCACCACCAATCATCCATCATCATCAACACCCATAATCACAACAACCCATCATCATCACCACCCATAACCATCACCACCCATCATCATAACCTCACCAATCATTACCACCACCCATGATCATTACCACCCATCATAATCACTACACGTTATCATCACCGACCATCATCATTACCACCCTTCATAATCACCACCCTTCATAATCACCACCCATCATCATCACCACCATCCATTATCAAGAAACATCATCACCACCCATCATAAATTAACAAACACAAACAGCTACAAACATAGATATGTAACCTGACACAGACATAGATAACAGACACACACAAATAAACAATCTCATTAACAACTTAATTATAAAAAGCCCATATTACCACTGCCAGGATAGGTGCACACAGACAAATCCTTTACACAATAATAATTTACATGGAACTCAAATTCACACTTAGTACAACCACCTCACTCACTTAAATATAACTACAGATCAATAACTATAATACAAACCTGAATTTAAAAGTAAATAAACTAATGGGATGGTGTTTATACACTTGAAATGTAATGAATGAAATGCAAGTTAATAATTCCAATTAAACAAAAAATAACTACGAACAAATATGAAGCCTGAGGCCTAGGTATATGCCAGGCCTAATGGCCAGGCATCGCTTCAGTCCTCGCCGCAGTAACGGCGACATCAAAGACAGCACAAACCGAGGGGGCAAATGTTTAATGTCGAACAGAGGGCTCTGCTGTTTCCGGTGACGCACACCACCCGCACTGCACCACGTGGTGTGCCCGCCAAGCGCGTGGGGGCGGAGCCTCGCTGTAGTGACGTCACCTCTGTTACGTCATAGCCACGCCTCCACCCGCAGTCGAGTGGAATGCGCACGAGTGAGCAGCAGCAGAAGAAGCCTTTGCAGAGCGAATCGTCAACGAGGTGAGCGTCCCTGTTGACGATGTGTGTTGTTTATTTTTACTGCACGTTTTGACTACAAACTAAAGCTTCATTATTTTTGAATATGTTGGAATTTTGATTTTCTGCAACCAAATTAGGACTATTAGGTTACTTGGCATGCTCTGATATGTTACTGTTACTGTCATTGTTTAGACCCAAAGCAAGTCAACATTTAAAACGTTCATAACTAACCTGTTTAAATCTCATATAATATGATTAACATGTCTATAATGATTGTGTTCTGATTGCCTGCATAATTGTGCCCTGCATTGCATGTATTGAATGTTATCCAACACGGGGGAGGAGTCTGCCTTTTAGTTCAGACCCGAGCTGCTGCCATAGACGTCTCTTATCTGTGATGTCACAGCCACATGGGCGGTATCTCTGACATCAAGTGACCTACGACGTCATTCTCGGGTTATAACAAATAATTTAAGTATTGTCATTTGACCCCAATGACCTACAAGACATAGGGGGGCCTTTATCAAGCAGTTGATTAATACAAATGGGCTGTGCATCAACATGCTTGTCTGGATTAGAGGTTAAACATCACGGTTATATCTGGCGATTCTGTTTAATGCAAT